ATACCATCATAACCATTATGGTTGTTTTAGTCAGCTTTTTCACTGCTCTGACAAAAAATAATTTAGAGAAGGAAAAGTTTATCTGGAAGCTCACAGTTTCAGAGGTCTCAAGCCATAGACAGCAGGCTCCATTCCTCAGGGCTTGAGTGAAACAGAACATCATCATGGAAGAGTGTAGCAGAGTGAATTGGCTCAAGACATCATATCAGGAAGTGGAGAGAGAGAGACTCATCTTGCCAGACACAAAATATATATTCCAAAGGCACTCCCCCAATGTCTACCTCCTTCAGCAACACCCTACCTGCTTTCAGAAACCAATCAGTGAATCCCAATCAGTGGATTAATTCATTTATTAGGCTAAGGGTCTCATAACCCAAGCAATTCACCTCTAAGCTCTCACATATGAGCTTTTGGGGGACACCTAATATCTAAACCATTAAGAATGGTCAATGAATGAGCTGCCAGTCAAGGTTAACTATTTTAACATTTCAATTCAAAAACATCAAGGAGGGGCCGGGGTTGTGGCTCAGTGGCAGATTGTTCACCTAGCACGGTGCTAGGTGAGCTCTAGCATGGGCAGTATGCTGGGTTTGATCCTCAGCACTACATAAAAATTAACAAAAAAAAACACAAAGGTATGTATCCAACTAAAACTATTAAAAAAAAAAAAAAAAACAAGGAATAGAAATGCACTCTATACATGAACTGCCCTGAGAAAATAGCTTCTCATATCAAGAAAATGGCTTTTGGTGGAAAATTAGAATCTAAAGTACATTAACCACTGACTTGACTTCTTAAATGGACTATACAGAACAAAATTTATCTTTTCTCAAGGACACAGGGTTATGATTAAGCACATATAATGGTAACTGTAGAGCTGGTAGACCCCTATCTTAAATATAACCTAACTCAAATCTCTCACTTTACAGATGAGCAAACAGATACACAAAGAGGTTATGCAATTCCCCCAAAGTCATACAGTAGGAAATCATACAATAGGAAGGTCATGTGATTACAACATGCCAGGCTGCCACATCTATTATTGTACTATGTTGAACACTATCTTGCAAGAAAATAAGGATTCAGGAGCACAGAACCCCTTATATTTGTTATTTTTCTTATCCCTTCTATTTTTCCATAACCTTTAGCAATAAAGTTCTTTAAATGTACCTATATTGTTATCTTCTGCAAGAAAATGATAAGCCAGCTTACTCCATGGCCCATCTTAGAGAAAGAATTCTGTAAGATAATGTGGTATACTTTTAAAAAAGAAAGTGATGCAGATTTAACCTCTGCATGGTCTTCGAAAGCAAGGATAAAATAAAAAACCCATGCTGTCTTAAGAACAGCTTTGGGGATGTGACTGTCAAGAAGTTGAAAAAGTTCCTTAAGAAAAATCAATACATAAACTTCAAGAGGACAAGGTATCAATAAATATGGGTGCTTGTTGTACTAGGGGCACTAGACTACTGAGCCACATCCCCAGCCCTATTTTTTTTTTTTGAGAGAGAGAGAGAGAGAGATAATTTAATATTTATTTTTTTTAATTTTCAGCAGACACAACATCTTTATTTGTATGTGGTGCTGAGGATCAAACCCAGCGCCACGCGCATGCCAGGTGAGCGCGCTACCACTTGAGCCACATCCCCAGCCCCCTATTTTTTTTAAATATTTTTTTTTTACTTGTAGGTGGACACAATACCTTTTATTTTATTTTTATGTGGTGCTGAGAATCAAACCCAGTGCCGCACGAGTGCTAGGTCAGTGCTCTACCACTAAGCAACAGCCCCAGCCCCCCAGCCCTATTTTGTATTTTATTTAGAAGCAGGGTCTGAGATTCTTAGAGCCTCGTTTTTTGCTGAGGCTGGCTTTGAACCTGAGGTCCTCCTGCCTCAGCCTCCCAAGCAGTCAAATGGGATTACAAGCATGGGCAACTGCACCCGGCTTATAAGGATTATTTTTAATGTCCTTTATTCTGTTTCTTTCTATTTTTCCACAGTTCAGGTACTTTATATTATTCTTTTGCCTTTGGTTACTCAAGAGATACTTTCTGTATTTTCTTAGTAGAAGGAAATGGGCTTAACTAAGAAAGTACATAGAATATTTTTCCCATGATCTCTTGAAAATGTGATCTTAAGGAAAACTTACACCTTGTCTTAAAGAAAACAAAAATACAAATTAGTCAAGATTAAAGGGATTTTTAAAATATTCTCAGATGATTCTACTTGAAGCAATTTTCTCTTGGCAGAATTTTAACTAAAACTGTAAAAAAGAAAAATTACATCTCATAGCCTATTTCTTCATGTTTCTGATATGTGTATGGTAAATTTTCCTTTGTTAATAAAACTAAAATAACAATACACTACTTTTCCTATGATTTACACTAATAGTTCATTTAATAAATTAAACAAAAAGCAACAAGGCTACTTTTCTATTTTAGAAAAGAAACAATCAAATGCATTACAAATAATTCCCATTAAAGGCAATGATAGGGATATTGAAATTGTTTTACTTGGGAAATGACTTTCATCTAATATTTCTAGTTCCATGTACCTAAAAACAATTCATACCATAGGGTTTTTTTTGTTTTTTTTTTTTTTGTAGGGGGGCGTGGTCAGGGACTGAACCCAGGGGCACTTTATCACTGAGCCACATCCCCAGCTCCTTTTTTTAAATTTTGAGGCAGGGTTTCCCTAAGTTGCTTGGCCTCACTAAGTTGCTGGGGCTGACTTTTAACTTTTGATCCTCTTGCCTCAGCCTCCGGAGCTCCTGGGATTTCAGGTGTACACTACCATGCTGGCCTCCTATCATAAATTTAAGCAATGTGCTTGGGGAAAAAATAGTTATGAGGCAGTACTGAGCAATATGAAAAACTTAACTTTTAAGATTAGTTTCCCATAAGTTGTTCTCATACACTGAGAATTAATATTATACTCCATAGAATGGTCTAAAATAAACCTTTTTTTCCCCAATACAAAAGAAGCCTCCTAATGCAGTTTCCTGGGTCACTTATAGTATCTTCCTCTGTAGTCTCAGAACAGACTACAAAAAGATAGGCATATTCCATATTTTAACTGTACCAGAAAGTAAAACATTTATTAGAATAAAGAGCACTTAACAATATAAATTAACATTCATCGATTAAAATTTGAAGCCAGTAAGAAAAATTCTCTTGATTTGAAATTTTAAAAAACATCCATGTTCCTAGGTAACAAAAAAGAAAAGCAAGAATATAGACTTCCAGTACAATATAAAATAACTACTGTAGGATAGATGTTTTCAGTTTTAAGGCAGACTAGACAGAAAAAAAAATGAATACCTATTGGCTTTTTCCAGCCCTCACCCAGCATTTCTTTATAGCAGCTATAGCCAGGCTATCTGCAGCCATGTAGTTATTTTCAGGCTGGGAATAAACATATCCTTGCTGTTCTGAGAACAGTTACTCAGGAACTAAGAGAATTTTTGGTTAACAACACCTTAAATGCTACCTAATGTGTCTTCCCTACATTCAAAAGGAGGAAACCAAGGCTCTGAGAAACTGTCTGGCTCATCCAATTCACATAACTAATGGACAAGCAAGATCTGAACCAAGTGTTCCCAATTATTTCTACTAATACAGGTCAACTCTGAGAGTCAGAACAACCGTTTAACTTTCTGGGATTTAAAGGGCCTTTGAGGGCTGGGGCTATAGCTCAGTGGTAGAGCACCCGCCTTGCACATATGAGGCACTGGGTTTGATCCTCAGCACCAACTAACTAAAAAATAAAATTAAATATAAAAGGGCCTTTGGAAATTTATCAGCTGTGTGATCTTGGTCAAGTTGGATTTCCAAGCCCCTTTTTTTCCATTCTGTAAAATGTAGAGAATACTTATTCTAATCAGATTGTTGTGAGGATCACACCTGTCTTGCTAAGTGCTTAGCCCACTAATTAGGAAATATTAAGCATTTGAAGTCAGGTGGCTATTATTTTTACTCTGATCCTGGTAACATGGCTACTCTTACTGTTTTGGAGGACAACAAACTGAATTCACTAACACAATGGAGAGGTTTCCTTCAGAGATACTCCATATTCAGGCCTTCCACATTATACTGACAGGAGAAAATCTCCCCCACCCCATCCAACAACGGATTTCATCCCATCCAAAATTTATCCCTTATCCCTTATGCTGTTAAGAAAAAAATACTAATCGTGACAAACGTTTTCTGCTACATGTTGTACGTTTAATTTGTCAACTAGAAATTGTAGGGGTGGGGGTGGGTAATGGCTCCACCCAAAACATGGAGAACAAACGATGGGAAAAGAAGGTCACAGAACTCTGGAGCTTGTTCTCAGCACATTTTAGTTGTGGGTGGATAGGTGGGCGGGAGAAAGCAAGATGATTTCTTCCAGCATCATAAAGCACGAATAATGGCTACTTCAACAAAATACAATTCTCTTGGTTTCGTAACAAAATAGAAAAGAATCTGTTTCCTTTCCCTTAGCAAATACGCACACGGGTCACAACTGATTATCATTCTTGTAAAACTGCAGATTAAGCTCTATTTCAGCTGCACTATACCATAGGATCACACAAATATATGAAAACATCCTATGAAATGGCGAGACAAAATGATGGGGACTATCACCATGAAATCTACAAGGAGGAAACCGTGTCATGCCAAAGGCGTCTCCATTGATAAAATCCCGACCGTCTGTTCTCATGACACTGCAAACCCACCTCTCTCTAAGGAAATGAACAGGAATCACCACAGCAACCAACCTCAGCTATCGGCATCGACCAGATCGACCCCTACTCAAATGGCGTTAAACACCGCGGGTCCAAGCCCCTCCCTGAAGCTGCCAAGTCCCGCGCTGACTCCAGACTACCTCACTTCCTTTTCGTCCTCCCTCTCATGCGCGACCCCCGGCACTCCTCGCCAACCCTTGCCACTGACAGAGAAGGTAGAAACAAGACAGACTTCGTACACTTTGTCTGGGAAGTACCAGGGCCACACATACCCGTCCCTATTACGATCACATCAAACTCCGAAGGGAGATTATCCGCCATCTTGAGAGGCAACGTGTCATGTGACTATTGCTTGTGGAAATGAGATCAAGTTTGGTATTCCCTGGGTAGGAGGCGGAAGGGAAAATAGTGCTTTCTGGGTATTGTAGTTCTTGGATGGAGGCTCCAGGTAGACAACTCCAGCGTTCTATTTGAAGTGTTTACGCAAATGTTAAAAGCTCGACTCACTTTCCAAGCTGAGTGCAGCAGTTCGTTTAACACGGAGGTTTGAATTAGAAATGTAGAATTTTCACTAACTGACTAGGATGAGTGTGGAAAAATCTGGGTACATCTCGACAAAGATACAGCAAGAGTTGTTAGGAGGCCTGGATGGCAGGGTGAACACGAAAGGGTCCTGCTCTGTTAACAAAGGAGGTTTACATTCCAGCCCGAAAATCTTTAACCAGCCGGTCAGTACTTTCATTCCGGCCCCTGAGGCATGGTTTTTCGCACCAATAACTTTCAAACTATAGTCAGTGTCTTTGTAGTCTCTATATCTCCCCAATGAAAACCCACAAAAAACCCTTGCCCTAGTTTAGCCACAAACTCTAATGGTGCCCGAATGTTCTAGTTAATACAAGCAGGTGTTCTAGCAATATATATTTGCAAAATTAGCCTTGCTATACAAGAATGGAGGAAAGGGATGTGAAAGCATAGTAGACGTTAAATGTTTAAGTCAGAATCTGATTTTCCGGTCAAATAAGACAAGTCCATGCAAGATTCTCCCATTAAGCTACTGCAAAAAATTATTAAAGTAAAATGACTGTTAAAAGACTCATTTGATGGGGGGCTTTAGGTTTTCTATACCAAGCAGCTAAGATGGCTTTCTTGAGTATTCTCAAGGTTTTTTTAACTTCCTACTCACCATTATTTAAAATGTTTTTCTACCTGACAAACCCCCAAAGCAGAAAAAAAAAAAAAAAAGTGGAAAAGTGCATTGAAGTGAGGGGGATACTGTTGTGATCTCAGAAATTACTTCTGAGATTCTTTTATACTACTTTCAAAATAAACCCAGGAGACTTTTCAGTAGTGGTGATACTGCCATTTATCAGTGCCCAGTTCTGCTTCCTCACATGTTGAAGTTTGAATATTAGAGAAGCACACAGAGGCAGGCATATAGAGTAGGGTTTATTTAAAAAGGAGTAACATAGACTTCTCTCAGGAGGGAGAAGAGGGCCATAGCCGGTATACTGGTATCCCAAGAGTGAGGTGTTCAGTCCTTTTTATATGTCCTAGGCTTCCTTTGTTTTCCTGCCTTTCCCCCTTATCTTTCTCCTTCCTGCCACTGTGACTATTAGGCTCAGGAATGCTTGGTGGGAGGGCCCAAAGGTGGGAAACTGGTGGGCTGAAGGGGGAAGGGAAAGAAACAGTAGCCAAGGACACATTAACAACCTTATAACGCCCTGTAGGGAGCAGCAGTTTCTGGGACAGGTTACCTTGGCAACAGGTTGGAGAAGGGGCAGGTTCTTGGTAAGGGTGGAGGAAGGGCTCTGAAGGAATTAACATTTCAATCCCTCAGGGTACAGTCTCCAACTTCCCAGACTCAATCAAAATTGGCCTCCTTGATTGGACCTGACTTGATTTACCTATCTCTACTGACTGCCTGTCTAATTCTGGCTTCAGTGGGACCTTCCCCTACACCACCTGTTCTCTGAGCTGCCAGTGGTCCCCCAGGCCCATTCTTTCCTTACAAGTCTTTGTGATCAGCTCAAACTCTTGTTTCTGTAGCATAGAATGATCTAGCAAACCTCTATCCTTAAGATTAAGGAGGAGATATATTTAACCTGATTTGAACATTACACAATTTATACATGTCTCAAAAGAGCATATCATACCACATAAATATGTTCAATTTTAATGTGTCGGTTAAAATAATAAAATAAATAAAAGCAAAGAAGATTTTTTTAGAGAACAACGAAATTTGGGGGGATTTTTTTTTTAAATAAGTTTTCGTTCAGCTTCTGGCTCCTCCTCCTTTCATCTCCACCCTATATTGGGCCAAGTTTCCCTACATGGTGTTATTACTTGTCATAACCTACCATATTAAGCTGAAATTATTTGCATTTTCATTCCTATAAGTTACACATATCCCCAAAAGTACACAAACACAGACATACAACACTATAAAGTATAAAACCCTGTTTTCATACTAGGAATTCAATCAATGTTTGCTGAACAGAACTTACTATCATAACAAATTATAAACCCAATGAGGACATGGACTTAGTCATCTTCTCCTTTATATCTGCTCAACACAATCATGTGTCTTGTATTTTTAAGATGCTCCAAACATTTGTTAATTTTGAAATGTTCTATGAAACTCCTTTAAAATGTATTTTTTGGGGATTTCTTTGGCTCTATTTCTGTCACATTTTCCCAGAATCATTAGCAATATTATAGAAGTTTATTAATTTCCTTTATAGATTATCCTGTTGTGCTAATTCTCTTGCAATATGGTCATCTGATGAATATTTCATGCAAAATAGGTTCCCCCAGAGAAGTATAATGTATTGTTCAATAAATCACTGTGCCATTTGCCTTAGAATGAAAAGAAAGTTTTGAGTATTATCAGATATGAGCTAGATTTTATCTGTGAGATTCTTGATATACTAGTGGCGATGAAAATTAATAGATTTCCCAGAGTAAACAAGAAACTTCCAAAAATAATCTCTAAAACTGAGACTCCATGACTGGAGCTGTAACTCAATGGCAGAGCACTTGCCTAGCATATGTGAGGCCCTGAGTTAGATCCCCTCTGCCAGGGGGGGAAAAAGTGAGATGCCACAAATGGATGATTAAAAACATAATAAATCAAAGTATTACTTTGGAGATTTATTTATATACATGCACATGTATATGTGTTACATATCATATATAACCTTTTCAATATGGGTATCTAAGTTTCTAATTTACATAAATTTCTCTAACAATTATACCATGAAGATAGAACTCATTAATTAATTTGTCCCTCAAATATTCCTTAAGCACCTACTATGTGCAAAGCACTAGTTTATAAGTTGGGACTATAGCAATGGAAATTTGCATCTAGTGGAGTAAAATAAAATAAATAAATAGTTACTCTGTCGAGCTAACTTTCCAACCTGGCCTCAAACTTGAAAACTCCTTTTTTTCCTGCTGATAGAAAGCTCACTCCTCAGAAAGATAATATGACCAACCCAAATTTAGATATCTTCACTCCAAAGTTACATGACTTATTTACACCCTCTCCGGGTATACAAACAGTTATTACATTGAGAAAACTTAAACCCTCTGCATTGAGAAAAAGTTCAAAATACTTTTTTTTTCAAATATACTTTCTTAGATGAAACCAAGAGTTGATAGTGTCAGTAAGAAAGGAATAAAAAAAAAAAAAAAGAACTGAATTATTTTCTATCATTCTAAGAACATCTAATTTTGAGAGCTGAAATACTTTATTTGGATAAATCACAGTACAATAGAATAATAGATAACTAAGAAATGACCACCTTACTAAGTCACTGTGACACTAATTTTGTATATAATGGTTTCCTGTGTTGCAATAATAACATTCCCTGAATATGTATTTTGTATTTAGAAGTTTACTCAATTATAAGATGACTACTATTTTTTACAAACCAGTAATTTAAATGGTCTGTCTCCCTTCAGACTTTCTATTGAGCTTCCTAACCAACTATCTAACCCCCTCACTCAACAACTCTTCTATGCATGTCCAATACTGAACTCCTGAATATTTCAATCCTATCCTGAAACCTTCTTTTACTCCAGGGCTCTCTGCCTTAGAAATGGTAACACTGTATTTTCTCAAGTCAAAAACCCAAGAGTAGACCTCAGCAACTCATGCCAGATTTGTCTACAAAATGTGGTCTAAAAGACCCTGCTTAACTGTCCAGTCTCATGTGTCTTCCCCTTCACTCTGTAACCTCCAGCCACATTAGCTCTTCTTCCTTTCTTCTAAAAGCCTATGCTCCTTCCTGCTCAGGGTTTTCCCACATTCTCTTACGTGTGTCTGAAGTGTACCTTTATCCTTCTCCACCCCTTTCTCCTAGTTTAATTGTACTCAGTCTTTACTGTTACTTAGAAATGTCATGAACTCTGAGAGTCCCCTTTCTAGTTTAATTATCCCTATTACCTTATACACCTCCTTTGTTGAACTTATCATTGTTGGAAATATCCAATTACATATAATCATTTGTTTCATCATGCTAGAAGGTAACCTCCATATAGACAAGGACAGTGCCTATATTGTTCATCACTATATTCCCAGGACATAATCCAGTGCCTGTTACAGAGTGGCATTCCAAAATATCTGCTGAATGAATAGATGAATGTTAATTATATGAATTCTTGAGGAAAAAATGTTATAATAATTAATTCTATTATAATGGGAATAATATGAGTCATTTGCCCCGAACATTTATTTCAACCTCTGGTCTTTGGTTTGTAATTCATTACATATGTAGTTAATACAAATTCAAATCAGCAAAAAAAAAAAAAAAAAAAAGGACAATACCACTAAGACTACTAAGTGTCCATATCCTGCCTGACCTCTAATTTTCTCCCTAGAGGTAAACATTATTTATTACCAGTTTCTTATGACCTGCTATAGATAATACAATAATAAAGAGCATTTGTGTAGCACAAATGATAGTATGCTATAAATATTATTATTTTCTTTATACCTTTTTTATCCCATTTTATTTTGAAAATCTTATACTCATAAATACAAGTGATGCTGCAATGAACATCCTTCTTTAGAAAGGCAGTATGGATAATGGTTCTGAGTTCAGGTTCTTGTACAGACTCTCTAGGTTTGAGTCCCAGTTCTATCATTGACCAACTGGCCACTAGCAAGTGATTTAACTTTCATGAACCTCATTTTTCACCAATCAGGCAAAAATCAATTTTCACCAATCAGGCAAAAATTAAAAGATTTGATAACACACAGCATTGGTAAAGGCATGGGGAAGCAGGCACATTTATATGGTGTTGAACTGTAAATTGGTACAGTTTCCTTAAATGGCAA